GTTTATGTTCGCCTCTTGTATCAGAAATGGGTAAAGACTGCACAGGCGCCCCAAGCTAACGTCTCGAGGAAATGCGAAGGATTATTTCGTGAAAGCGTCACGCATTGTGTGACGCGGTGCTAAGCTACGCGAGTAATCGTTGATAATTTGAATGCGTTATAAGGAATAGTATGGGGAACAAAATATGGTCCATTTAATACACTAAATATTCCGAAATATGAACATTTTACACGTTTGATTAATGAAACTTACCCATTCCTGTTACATTCGCTAAGCTTACGCAATGGTCGGGCGCATACGCATTGACGAGACTAGCCACATGTTCGGGACACAAAGTTTATTTTCCTTGATCTGAGATATTTCATCCTTGGAGACCCAGTGGCCGTAAGTCGATTTCAAGTTAGGGTGAAGAGCCCCTGGGGACATTGTCTTTTAAACACGAAGGCGCGCTATAAAAGGAGCCTTAGGTCCCGCTGGACCATTTGTCAATCAACCGACGTGTGATGTAGACCTCTTAGAGCCAAGTTAGCTTGAGCTACAGCTACTCCAAAGCAGTGAACAACGGGTGCATTCCTAAAAATTGTTTTATGTCTTCATCACAATACAAGAGTATTTCCTTTCTCCAATGGAAACGGTCTTTATTTGTGGCGGTAAATTTGAGATCGAAGTAGATGGTTCGCACGTTACCTCATGCCACCATGCTGGTGGAAGTAAACAATAGATTTCTCATTAGCTCCTTTTGTTCGTCTACCAGCATTTAAATTTGACCCGCACACGTCAACGGTGAGTGACAAATGAGCCTTGCTCTTCCCAGCGAAGACTTCCTTATATAGCGCGCCTTCGTGTTGAAGACTAGTTCCAAACAGCTGCTGTCGCTCTGGCATCTGATTGGTGCCAGAAAATCTTTGTGCTTTTCTGCCCAATAAGAGTGAAGTGTGCTTTAGAGTCCTTTCGTGTGTTTTAACGTGGCCTTACACATGAAGCTCAGGTGCTCGCCATGTTTGTTTGGGACGTGCGCCGGAGCTTTGCTTGAGGTGAAAAGTTTCAGTCTCAGCACAAAATGCTAGAGAAATCGATCAGATTGTCCGCAAAATTCTTACCGGAAATTATACTGAATACTTTCGCAGGTATCGCAAGAAAACGTGTTTAAAAGTTTGCGAGGTTGCAT